AGAGCAGTGATACACAATCACCAATCAATAACCAAATCCATCTGCAGGAGAGATCAGACGAGTGGATGGGACGCCCTTTGACCTCAGAAAGCCTGTTCTGATTGGCCCCCGGCTGAAGGAAATTCCAGGTCCGGGGTTTGACCACAACTTCTGTCTGTCATCACCTGGGGACACCTGGATAGAGAGACACGCTGCCAGGTGTGCTTCAGATGACACACTACACTGTCTCATACACGCTACACTGACTGACGCATACTACACTGACATACAGACACTGACACACACACACACTGTCACACACACTACACTGACACACACTACACTGTCACACACACTACACTGTCACACACACACTACACTGTCACACACTGTCACACACACTGTCACACACTACACTGACACTACACTGTCACACACACACTACACTGTCACACACACTACACTGTCACACACACACTACACTGTCACACACACGCACACACACTACACTGTCACACCCTACACTGACACTACACTGACACACACACACTGCACTGACACACACACTACACTGTCACACACACACTACACTGTCACACACACACTACACTGTCACACACACACACTACACTGTCACACACACACTACACTGTCACACACACTACTGTCACACACACTACACTGTCACACACACTACACTGTCACACACACTACACTGTCACACACACGCACTGTCACACATACGCACTGTCATACACACGCACTGTCACACAACAACATGGATACCGTTGTCAGCAAAACTTCATCTTCTTCATCTCAGAGTGTGTCACCCAGCCAGTGGGCGGGTCCTGGAGGTTTCTACCAGCCAACCAGGCATCCAGTTCTACACTGCCAACTTCCTGGATGGCTCTATGACAGGAAAGGGCGGGGCTAGGTACGGGAAGCACAGCTCCTTCTGTCTGGAGACACAGAATTGGCCTGATGCTGTCAACCAGGTATGATGATGATGATGATAGATTTAAACTGTTGTATGGAGTGATCTGTTGTTGAAACCAACTATCGTTGGCTTCTATATATATCATTGAGAGGGTGGAAATTGTAATTGTATTCCTAAATATGACTTATTACTGTATTGGAGTACATTTAGGTCCAAGCTAGGTTAGCTTAGCTTCCAGCTCAGCTCTCCTCCCTCTCCTTCAGGGGCAGTCAGTATGTTCTTGTAATTTCTACAATATATGTGTTTAGAAGAACACAGAGAAAACATGACCGAAAATATGTTTGCTTCTTTCATGACCTTTGCCTCACCCAGAAGTTGTCCTCACCATAATAACACTGAAATCGCTCTCCGCTATTTTTTTAGATTTTTCTCATAAATATATGACTTTATAATCTTAAATCATAAATTCGTCAACTGGCCAGCCAGTGTTTCTCAGATTCTAGTGAGACGAGGAGAAAATGTGATGTCGTGATCTTCGCAATAGAACATCTTTGACGTGTCGAGTCTTGGCCAATCAGCGTTCAGATGTGTACAGCATCTTTCCCTCCGTCAAAGTTTAAGTTACGTTATGTACCGTTACCGTTCAGACTTGCTGGGTTAAGTTAACGTCCACTGCATGCGGAACTTTGCCGACTGTTAACGTTCGTCATTATCGTGATTTAGAAGGAACAAACGTAACATGATGAAACATGCAGCCCCCCCGTGTTCCGGTTCAGTTCACGCGGTCACTCGTTAACGTTAAACCGGAACACCGGCGCATCTGGTTGCAGGTTGTTTGTTTTAACTCAAAGTAGAATGAAAGGCCCAGATACTGATGAGGTCAAAGAGCTCCAGGGAGAGGAGGCTGGTTGTAGCGCAGCTTGATGCAGTGCTGAGCTGTGAGTGGAGCTGGGCCTGGATAAAGGTGGAGCTGGGCCTGGATAAAGGTGGAGCTGGGCCTGGATAAAGGTGGAGGTCTAAACAGACGTGAGTACAGCTTCCTGCTGTCACAGTATTTTAAATACATTGATAAGGCAGGGTATGCTAAATGCAGCCTCTGCTCCAAAGAATGAACTACAGCAACACTGAACTCTCATCACACTGTTCACTGTGATGACCACAGCCAGTGGACCAACAGTCCCACGTTGCTCTCAAGAACCCTGAAGTAATGAGAGGGTTAAGGTGCCTGTACCTTCATTTCAGCGGGTTGCTAATGCAGGTGTGTATAGATCACAGATATTATTTTACTCTTGATAAGTTACCTTAGCCAGAGTAGATTATCATTTTCATTTAAATAATTTAACTGGATTGAATGCATATTAATTACAAATAGAAGATAGGCCACAATTCTAACAGCTGTACAGTAACAGTGGAAGTTGATATGAAGCCATACAGTAACAAGGTTCAATGAAAACTAATCACTTTATTTGTACAGGCGATGGTTCTCGCTACTCTTGCTATCTTTGTTTTTATTTGACCAAAACTTTTGAAAGTGAGACCTCGGTCTCAATGGATTTTGTCTAAATAAAGGTTAATAATAATAATAGAGCTGAAATACTGATTAATAACTATTTTTTGCTTAAAGTAAATGTCTTATCACTTAATTTTCTTCTCAGAGTACACCAGAATGCTACATTTTAAAGCTCATATTGAAAATAAAATCCCCCCCCAACCCCCCTGTTTAAAGGATCAAGAGCACAATGGCCCTGCCGCTCCTATAAGGGTCTGGGGATCAATCAGTGAAAATTTAAATGTAATAACTACAAAACGAAATGGTAACCCTGCTGAGTCGGTTTGGAGCTCCCTGACGGTGCTCCCATCTTGTTTCACTGCCAGAGGACGAGGCGACGCTCCCAGGCAGCTACCTTCGGTTCTGCCGAGTGAAGCCAATGCTGAAGTGTCTTAAAACCTGCATTCTCTCTAGTGTCCACCAGGGGGCGACTCCTCTGGTTATATAGAAGTCTATGAGAACATGACTCTACTTCTCTCTTGATTTATTACCTCAGTAAACATTGTAAACATGAGTTTATGGTCTCAATCTCTAGTTTCAAGTCTTCTTCAATACAGCATGATGTTCATTTAGTACATTATGGTCCATTTAGAGTCAAACAGACCATAAAGCAGAGTTTGATTTGGGGCAGAGCTACTGTGATTGACAGGTCTCTGCTGCTACCAGAGACGTACTATATGGCGTCTCTACATCACTCCTCCAAATTCCAAATATGGTCACTTCTGTTGATTGGTTGCAAAGAAAACAACATTGCGACGCCGATGCCGCTTGAAACTGCTGTGACAACACAATCACAGAGGCTGTGTGTGTGTGTGTGTGTGTGTGTGTGTGTGTGTGTGTGTGTTCAGGCTTCATTTCCTGATTGTCTTCTGCGTCCTGGTGAGCACTACCAACATGTGACTCGCTTCACTTTCACCACTGTCTGATGTGACCAACAGCGGGACAGACCAACAGCGGGACAGACCAGCAGTGGGACAGAGAGCAGGATGTCCATGCACTGATTGTACATTTCCTGTCTCACAGTAAACATTATAATCATGTAGCATGCTGTTGAGCAGCCAGGGCCTCTTTCAGTGCCAGTTCAGTTCCCCTCTGTGTAACTGTGTGATTTGATGCAGGTTCTTTTGATGAGATGTGTGCTACTACACAGGTGCTATGATGGCTTTTGTAACTACAGTAGTTATTACAGCCTGTACCTGTGGGTGTGTGTTCCTCGTCCAACCTGACCAAACTGTTTCTAATTCAAACAGAAAATAAAGAAGGAGCTGACTCACTCAAGCTGGTGGTTGCCATTTGCTCCGATGTGTTCTTTTTAGCATCAGGTTTGTTGTAGTCCATCTGTCCCATTCATCCCGTATTAAGACTTAGAGAGCAGTCAGACTGAGGCTGAACACCAGATACATCTTATGTAACTCCGTCTTCACCTGAGAGTTCAACATTCCTGCAGTATTTCTAGACCTTCGGGTGAGGAGGTGGGTTTGGGTGAGAGGCCATCCTACTGCCCCAGATATGTTGTGTTGTTATGGCAACCTCCAATCCGTCACTCAAAGAGGCTTTTAACAGCTGAGGTTTCACAAAACGTGATGGAAGGTTTACAGCAGTGTCACACACAAGGAGGGAACCTCTCACATGGTTCAGTTTAGCTGGTTTGTTTCCTGCGCTTTCTTTCATTTCTTAAATGTATGACATGAAGTCAAAGCAGCGTGGTGTGAGCTGCTGATTGGCTGGGGGTCACACCCCCACACAGGGTCACCCACAAACACCCTGAACCCAGAAAGAAGAAGAGAAGAGAGCAGAGTCTCTGTTGATACAGACACCACCAAGTGATGATTGAGGGATTATTTTTGTGTCAGTCTATACAAACTTACATATTCTACTGAAATCAATTCAACAGGATTTACTTTTGGTTCAAATATTTAAATTAGTTCTGTCAGTGTTAATTATAACTTCAAATCTAACTATATAATAGTGACAGTGATTTTGACCTTTTATTTATAATAATGTTCCTTACTGTACGACTTTCTAAATAGTAAATGATTATTGATTCACAGTGCTGTTCCACTGTAAGTGGCTCCAGAATAACGTGATCATCTACACCAATCAGTGCCAAACATGTATAGAGAGAGAGAGAGAGAGAGAGACTGCAGCAGGGAACAGAGAGCTGATGCTGCTGAGTGGGAGGGACGCCTGGCTCTCAGCTGGACAGAGAAGGAGTGGGGCTGTGCATGAGTCATGGGACTCTGCACCGGGAGCAAGATGTTTATGTTCATCCAGCTGTTTATTTATCATATTGCAAAGTAGAGCTGAGAGAACCATGAATGTAGATCACACTGGACTAAAGGTTGTCACGATGCTGACCTGTTCCTTATAAGAGATCCATCCAGTTATTCCATCCTGCTGGCACAACAGGCTGCTAGTCCTGCTGTGCTACTAAGTTGTGTTTACATAATATGCACATGTGGATATAGTAAGCTAACCCGCCTCATCATATCTCATGATTACCATCAGCTGGCCACGTTGTCTTGTTTGTCTCTGAAGCGTCTGTCTTTATTTTCTTCCACATCTGTCCATTCTGTAAATCTGTCTGAATGAACACCGTTGCCGACTGTTTACTGAAAACTATTCCGACATCAAAACATAAGTTGTGCATCACATTGTCCCTGGTCACGCCCCTCCTGTCATGCCACTGGCCCCACACTTTGTGAACTGTTGTCTTTATAACAACGGCGTACCTGATCAGAGGCCGTACGCAGAGTGTGCTGCAGTGTTAACATGCATGTGAAACACCTGGACATTATGGCCTAAAGGAGGAAACAAGTCGTTTCTTAGTGATGGGCTAAGAAACGACCAAAGCAGCTCAAATGAATTACTGAAATTAGAAATAATAACTGAGAGATGGTTTCCCTAATCAAATCAATTTAACATTGATGCAAGCTGATGTTAGCTCAGGTGGGAGACTGACCATCTGGTGACCTGGTGCGGTCTGAACAACTTGGAGCTCAACGCTCTAAAGACAGTGGAGATGTTGTGGATTTCCGGAAGAATGCAGCCACACCAGCCCCTATCACCCTGTGTGACTCCTCGGTCGACGCGGTGGAGTCCTTCCGCTTCCTACCGGTCACTCCCCCGCACACCCGCTCTAGGTTACTTACTTAAATACACTCGACACTTAACATTACACTTACTGTACATCTCACTTGTTTATAGTCCTGTTATCTGTTCGTTTGTGCACTTTATTTTATATTTGACTTTATTTTATATTTTACTGTTAATTTTAATATGTTTCTACTTTTTGCACTGTGTTGATTGTTTAATGTTATGCACCACCCGTCATGACAAATTCCTTGTCTGTGCAACATGAATGGTTCTGGTTCTGGTTCTGACACTGCCTCCCTCGATCAACACATCCAGCCACAGAATCTGAGTGTGCGAGTGCACCACACTTCTTCATTTACATGTTAAACCAGAAACCTGTTCTTCCATCCACCCACCAGGTGGTCCGGTCACCTTTTTTTCACCTTTCTTGAGTTTTCAGGAGAAGTTTTCTCTTCATATTCTAAGAGTACGGGATCATGGGTACATTGTGGTTTGGTGTGATGAGTCTTTCCTCCAGCTAAATATGTCTAAAACAAAAACATGATTATTGACTTCAGGAGGTCACTGCCCACTGTTAAAGGTGTTGATGTTGACTTAGTGGACGTCTACAATTGTTTCTGTATCGCTGCTGCGAATCCAATGTTGATGCCACTTCTAAAAAAGTCCAGAAAACTCTCTTAATGTAAAAGGGCCTTTTTGCTGCCCTATCATTTCCTTCTGCAGTATTCTGCATCCTTGTCTTTAGATCGTTGCTAGTGTTGGGACTTCCCCATGGGGTTAAATCAAAGACAGAGGCCTGCATGTCATTTCTAAAGCCTAGATTGTGAAATTGCGCTAACTCCCAAAAGGCTTCAAAATCTCACCTGAGTGTGAGATTTGGTTCAACACTGGTGCTTCATTGGACGAGAGCCACGGGAACCCCAGAGTCCCTGTGACACAGCCATGATGTCACCAAGGCTATAGAGACCAGCGCATACCTTTAACCTGCTCCGTCCATGCGACTCCCGCTAAAAGAGGGAGAGACAATGTTGGTGCCTTTAAAGACACGCCCCCTCTGTGAGAGACACGCCCCCTCTGTGAGAGTCACAGAGACACAAACCTGGTGCTACCCTTTCTCCACACAATGTAGAAACATTCTCATCTTTTTGAAAATAAATATCTTAAATATTGTGGTTTTCATGTAAGACTAAAATTGATTTACTTTAAGTGTTCTTGAAGTTCTTTAATTAATAGATGGAAAGCACGCCCCCTTTTCTTTGCTGATCCGAAAAATGATCCGATCTGTGATTCAAAAACCGCGGTACGATCCGTTACACCCCTACTTGTAATTGTACAATAGATATAGTTATAATATAATATAATATAGTAATATATAGTATAATAATAGTTTGTTGGTTTATAATATTATTGTGATGATAGCTGATTGTAATAGTCAGATTCTAACCTTCCCTGTTCACTCTTAATGTGGAATAGTACTTTAACTATTCACTTTGTGAGAGAACTACAGAGTGGTGCCCCGTTATTGTTAATATACAGGTGCTGGTCATATAATTAGAATATCATCAAAAAGTTGATTTATTTCACTAATTCCATTCAAAAAGTGAAACTTGTCTATTATATTCATTCATTACACATAGACTGATATATTTCAAATGTTTATTTCTTTTAATTTTGATGATTATAACTGACAACTAAGGAAAATCCCAAATTCAGTATCTTAGAAAATTAGAATATTGTGAAAAGGTTCAAAATTGAAGACACCTGGTGCCACACTCTAATCAGCTAATTAACTCAAAACACCTGCAAAGGCCTTTAAATGGTCTCTCAGTCTAGTGCTGTAGGCTACACAATCATGGGGAAGACTGCTGACTTGACAGTTGTCCAAAAGACGACCATTGACACCTTGCACAAGGAGGGCAAGATACAAAAGGTCATTGCAAAAGAGGCTGGCTGTTCACAGAGCTCTGTGTCCAAGCACATTAATAGAGAGGCGAAGGGAAGGAAAAGATGTGGTAGAAAAGAGTGTACAAGCAACAGGGATAACTGCACCCTGGAGAGGATTGTGAAACAAAACACATTCAAAAATGTGGGGGAGATTCAGAAAGAGTGGACTGCAGCTGGAGTCAGTGCTTCAAGAACCACTACGCACAGACGTATGCAAGACATGGGTTTCAGCTGTCGCATTCCTTGTGTCAAGCCACTCTTGAACAACAGACAGCGTCAGAAGCGTCTCGCCTGGGCTAAAGACAAAAAGGACTGGACTGCTGCCGAGTGGTCCAAAGTTATGTTCTCTGATGAAAGTAAATTTTGCATTTCCTTTGGAAATCAGAGTCCCAGAGTCTGGAGGAAGAGAGGAGACACAATCCACGTTGCTTGAGGTCCAGTGTAAAGTTTCCACAGTCAGTAATGGTTTGGGGTGCCATGACATCTGCTGGTGTTGGTCCACTGTGTTTTCTGAGGTCCAAGGTCAACGCAGCCGTATACCAGGAAGTTTTAGAGCACTTCATGCTTCCTGCTGCTGACCAACTTTATGGAGATGCAGATTTAATTTTCCAACAGGACTTGGCACCTGCACACAGTGCCAAAGCAACCAGTACCTGGTTTAAGGACCATGGTATCCCTGTTCTTAATTGGCCAGCAAACTCGCCTGACCTTAACCCCATAGAAAATCTGTGGGGTATTGTGAAGAGGATGATGCGAAATGCCAGACCCAACAATGCAGAAGAGCTGAAGGCCACTATCAGAGCAACCTGGGCTCTCATAACACCTGAGCAGTGCCACAGACTGATCGACTCCATGCCACGCCGCATTGCTGCAGTAATTCAGGCAAAAGGAGCCCCAACTAAGTATTGAGTGCTGTACATGCTCATACTTTTCATGTTCATACTTTTCAGTTGGCCAAGATTTCTAAAAATCCTTTCTTTGTCTTGGTCTGAAGTAATATTCTAATTTTCTGAGATACTGAATTTGGGATTTTCCTTAGTTGTCAGTTATAATCATCAAAATTAAAAGAAATAAACATTTGAAATATATCAGTCTGTGTGTAATGAATGAATATAATAGACAAGTTTCACTTTTTGAATGGAATTAGTGAAATAAATCAACTTTTTGATGATATTCTAATTATATGACCAGCACCTGTATGTTAATAATCCTATTGACATTATTAATAGTATTGATAT